CCCTAAACCCTAAACCCGAACCCGACCCAACCAACCACATCCCTCGCCGCTGCAGTACCAGGGCTTTCCCAAGTCCTGCTGCGTCGGCTACAAACCCTAAACCCTAAACCCTAAACCCTAAACAGTAAATTGTGAAACTTCTGTGGCGTTCAACTAACAGTGGTGAGGTGTGCCTTACAGCCGCAGCAGCACGTGCAGCAGCAGCAGCTGCTGCTGCTGCTGCTGCTGTTTAAGCCCAGGTTGTCATGCGGTGCTGCTGCTGCTGCAGCTGCCACTGCTGTTGCTGCTGTTGCTGCTGCTGCTGCTGCTGCCGGTGCTGCGTGAGTTCGCGTGCTGTTTCGCTGCTGCTGCTGCTGCTGCAACGGCTGCTGCTGCTGCTGTTGGATTTGCTGCTGCTGCTGCTGCTGCTGCTGCTGCTGCTGCTGCTGCTAGGCCGCTGGAAGAAGGGGATATTGTGAATGTGGACATAACAGTTTTCTACAAAGGCATGCATGGAGATTTAAATGAAACTTTTATTTGCGGAGAAACAAAACCCGAAAACAAAAGACTTGTCCAAGGCGCCTACTGCTGCCTCATGGAGGCCGTCAAAGAGGTGCTGCTGCTGCTGCTGCTGCTGCTGCTGCTTCTGCTGCTGCTGCTGATGCTGCTGCTGCTGCTGCTGTGTCCGTGCTGCTGCTGCTTCTGGTTTGTTGCTGGTGATGTGTTGGTGCTGCTGCTGCTGCTGTTGTTAATGCATCTGATTGAACTCCCTCGCTACTGCTGAGTGCAGCGCTGCTGCTGTTGCTGCTGCTGCTGCTGCTTCTGCTGCTGCTGCTGCGCTTGCTGCTGCTGCTTTTTCTGAACTGTTCACCTATTTGGGGTGTATGTACACCTGACGCAGTGCAAGCCTGGAATGATGTATCGAGAGATTGGGAGAATTGTCTCCTCTGTTGCAGACAGATACGGGTAAACCCTAAACCCTAAACCCTAAACCCTAAACCCTAAGCCCTAAAGGCTAGCCGCGAAGTCCTATGGTCTAAACTCTGAATTGTAGCTTTTGGCCCTCGAGATGAGAGCTGGTGTTTTGCATCTTGCGTCCTAAACCCTAGACCGCACGCTGCTGCCCTAAACCCTAAACCCTAAACCCTAAACCCTAAACCCCCGCGGTGCGCGGGGTGTACGTACAGCTTGTCCGTGGTTCGCTCCTACTGCGGCCACGGAATTGGAGAGCTTTTCCACACGGCCCCCAGCATCCCTCACTACAGAAACAATAAAGCAGTAAGCAGCAGCAGCAGCAGCAGCAGCAGCAGCAGCAGCAGCAGCAGCAACAGCGGTAGTGGTAGTTGCAGCAGCAGTGGTGCTGGTGGCAGCAGCAGCAGGAGCCGCAGTAGCAGCCGCCGCAGCAGTAGTAGCGGCAGTGGCGTAGCAGCAGAAGCACCAGCAGCAGCAGCAGCAGCAGCAGCAGCAGCAGCAGCAGTAGCAGCAGCTGTAGCAGCAGCAGCAGCAGCAGTAGCAGCAGCAGCAGCAGCAGCAGCAGTAGCTTTAGCGTTTGCACGTTTCTGTGCACATTTGCCTTTTGCTGCTGCCTCTCCCTACCCCCCTTTGCTGCCCCTCCCCCCTGCACCCCACCTCCCCCGCTCCCGCTGCCGCTGCTGCTGCTGCTGCTGCTGCTGCTGCTGCTGCTGCTGCTGCTGCTGCTGCTGCTGCTGCTGCTGCTGACTGTGGGGGTGATGCGCCCCGGGCACGTGTTCACGATCGAACCAATGGTCAACCTGGGGGGCTGGCGCGACCAGCTGTGGCCTGACCAGTGGACCTCCGTGACAGCAGATGGTTCTTTTTCTGCGCAGTTCGAACACACTTTGCTTTGCACCAAAGACGGAGTTGAAGTCTTAACCAAAAGAACTCCCAACTCCCCCAAACTCGAGATCGACACCCTCGGCTTCGACTGCCCCTGACGCCCACCAGCAGCAGCAGCAGCAGCAGCAGCAGCAGCAGCAGCGCAGCAGCAGCAGCAGCAGCAGCAGCAGCAGAGCAGCAGCAGCGCAGCAGCAGCAGCAGCAGCAGCAGCAGCAGCGCAGCAGCAGCAGTGGTGGTTGTGGTGGTTGTGGGGAGGTTGAAGGAAAGGGGGAAAGGGTTTTGAGAATTATTTTGGAAAGAGAAAAACGGGAAGTGGGGTTTTGAGGGGGGAGCCCGAGGTGTACGTACACCGCAGAGGGGTGCGGTGTACGTACACCTGGCAGTCGCGCGCGAAACGCGCGAAAATGAACGGAATTTGGAATTTAAAAAGCGGAAATGAAATAATTATTAAAAAGGAATAAAAATAAACCAAATTTAAATCAAAAACGCGAAGTTTAGCCGGCGAACTGGCGAAGTTGCTGCTGCTGCCGCTCGCCGCCGCTCGGCCGTGCGCCACTGGCCGTTTCTGCAATCAAAGGAATTCAAATTTTACTCCATTTCTGAAATCTTTCAATTTCTTCTTTTTTCAATTTCAAATGTTTCAAACACACGCAGAAGAGGCTCTTTTTCCCTGCGTTTAGCCCCTCCGCGCATTGCTGCTGCTGCTGCTGCTGTCCTGCTGCTGCTGCTGCTGCTGCTGCTGCTGCAGCGGTGACTCAGGGGGAAGCTGCGATTGGTAGTTCGTCATTTTCGAGAAACTTTCGGCTGTTTGTTTTTTGTTTTTAGTTTTGAATAATAAATTAAAAAGAATTTTAATTTTCTGTTTTAATTTGCGCCTCTGCTGCTGCCGTGGGGCTCCCGAGCACACGCGTAGGCGGGGCGGGGCTCGATCTGCATGCCTTTGAAAAGGGGGTTTGAGCGGTTAAAAGTGTTTTAAATTGTTTTTAAATTATCTAATTTTAATAAAAATGTTTTAAATTGCATTTAAAAGAATAAAAGCGGCATTTAAACGGTCCGAAGAGGCGTTTCGACGACTTAGCGGGATTCAAACCAACTTTCCGGATATCGCCACCAAACTGGACTCCAAGCTCAAGACCCGTCGATAGAAATCCCAAAAAGTGTTTGTTTTATCTTTTTGCAATTCTTTTTTATTTTAAATTCATTTAAAGTTTCATTTTCAAAGAGTTTCCCCTCCGCCCCTCCGGGTGTCTGGACAGCGCGTCAATTCAGGTGTCTAGGCAGCTGCGCACGCAACCGACACATCGGCTCCATTTCTTTTTCTCTACACCCCTAACCCTAAACCCTAAACCCTAAACCCTAAACCCTAAACCCTTTGCAAATTGCCTTTTTGGCTTTTTTGACTCCAATTTCGCCTTCTAAACAGCAGCAGCAGCTCCTTCTCCTCTTTTCAGGTCCCCTGCTGCTGCCACACAGCCCGCAGCAGCAGCAGCAAACTTTCTTCTTGCAAATTTAAATGGTTAATTTACACATTTCGTTTTTTATTCTTTTCTAATTGCAGTTTTCAGCAGCAGCTGATTACCTTCTCTGCCAAACCTGCAGCAGCAGCAGCAGCAGCAGCAGCAGCAGCAGCAGCAGCAGGTGCTGCAGCCAGAGGACGACGAGCAGCAGCAGGTGCTGCAACAACAGCAGCAGCTGCCACGCCTGCTGCTGCTGCTGCTGGGCGTTTTCTGCTGCAGTGCGGCAGAGGAAAGGCGCAGCAGCGCAGGATGCGCAGCCGCAGCGCAGGAGCTTTTCTAGCAGCAGCAAACCTGCAGCAGCAGCAGCAGCAGCAGCAGCAGCAGCAGCAGCAGCAGCAGCAGCAGGGGGCGGAAGAGCTCGCTGAAGAGCAGCAGCTGCTGCAGTCTCTTTTTTGAATTATTGCAGCAGCCAGGGGCAATGCTGCAGCAGCGCTCCGCGCTGCACTTGGCGCTGCTGCTGCTGCTGCTGCAGCAGCAGCAGCAGCAGCAGCCCGCGCCCCTGCCAGCAGCAGCAGCAGCAGCAGCAGCAGCAGCAGCAGCAGACCGCCCGCTGCAGCTAGAAGACCTGCTGCACAACACTCCCTGGCAAATGGGAAGTTATGCTTTAGAAGACATCACAACAGACTCCAACTTGACATTATGGCAAAGAACTTATTCTTCAGTCAGGGGGCCCCCCTCCCTCGAGGGGGCCCCCCCGGGGGGCCCCCCGGGGGCCCCCAGGGGCGGCTGCGGCTGCTGCAGAAAACGAAAATAGTTTTATCTTCTTCCAGGTCTAAATCTGCAGTTCCGATTTTGCAAACTCTTTTTGGTGCTTTGTTTTTGGTTTTGAGTTGGTACTGTTTTCGAGTGGGCTTTCGCCACTACCTCGTGAGCGAGGGTTTAGGGTTTAGGGTTTAGGGTTTAGGGTTTAGGGTTTAGGGTTTGGGGTTTGGGCGGGGGGCTGGGGGTTGGGCGCTGCTGCGGCAGCGGGGAACCAGAGGCGCATGCGGCGGTTTCGGACCTGCGGAGAAGGCACGCGGGCTTTGCACCTTCAGGGTTTAGGGTTTAGGGTTTAGGGTTTAGGGTTTAGGGTTTAGGGTTTAGGGTTTGGCGCGGGGTTTGTTTGTAGACGCTGCCTCTCGAGTATCTGCTCACTGAAGAGCCCTTTCCTCCTGCTCGTCTTGGTGAGATTTTATTTCATTTAATCCAATTAAATCAAATCCTGCATTTTGCTGCTGCTGCTGCTGCTGCTGTTGCTGCTGTTGCTGCTGCTGCTGCTGCTGCTGCTGCTGCTGCTGCTGGTGCTTTGCTTTCTGGTGCCGTCCTGTTCCGCTCGGGCGGTCCTTTTTGGCTGTTGTTTGAGGGTTTGGGGTTTAGGGTTTAGGGTTTAGGGTTTAGGGTTTAGGGTTTAGGGTTTAGGGTTTGTTGTAAGTTGCTTCTGTGTGTGTGCGTTGCGGTGTACGTACACCTCAGCCACTGCTGAAGAAATCGCCGAAGCAAAAGAAAACTCCAAAACGAACTTTTCTGCTTATCAAATTTATTTATTTATTTATTTATTTATTTATTTATTTATTTATTTATTTATTTATTTATTTATTTATTTATTTATTTATTTATTTGTTTTGTTTTGTTTTTAGGGCTCAGTTAAATGCGTTTCGTTTGGGCAATTTGCTGGACGACCATATCATAGAACTGTACTTGACAGCTCTCCAGGTAAACCCTAAACCCTAAACCCTAAACCCTAAGCCCTAAACCCTAAGCCCTAAACCCTAAGCCCTAAACCCTAAACCCTAAGCCCTAAACCTTAAACCCTAAACTCCTTGTAGTGGAGTTTCTGTCTTGTGATTTTGCGCAGGAGCGGATTACAGCTGAGAACGCGTAAACCCTAAACCCTAAACCCTAAACCCTAAACCCTAAACCCTAGATTTGTCGTGGCGGGTGCGGGCGGCACTTTTTCTGCGCGTTTTTCGCGGGTTCTTTCTCTCTTAGTGCCTGGCAATTGTTATTTTGAATGATTTATTTATTTATTTATTTATTTATTTATTTATTATTTATTTATTTATTTATTTATTTATTTATTTATTTATTTATCCTTTGGGGTGTACAGACAGGCCGACACTGTGATCCTCAGCTGGTGGCCCCGCTACCAGGCCGGCCTTGGGGGGGCCCCTTCATATGTGTATTTGCCAGTGAGTTTAATTAATTTTGAAAAATAATTAATTAAATAAATTAAAATAAATAAATAAATAAATAAATAAATAAATAAATTCATTTTATTCAGTTCTTGTTTCTTTTCTTCTCCACTTTTTTTCACTTCTTTAGACCCCTTATTTGTTTTTCATTAAATGCTTTTGTCTTTTTGTTTTTTTTGCTTTCTTTTATTTTGTTTTATTTATTTGCATTTTAATTTTATTAATTTAATTAATTCCTTTATTATTTCTTTTAGTTCTTTATTTCTTTTATTAATTTATCTCTTTATTTAATTTATTTGATTTATCTTATTTAATTTATTTAATTTATTCAATTTATTTAAGTTATTTCATTAATTTTTTTAAAACTTATTTCTTCGTTTCAATTATTTCATTTGTACCTTTTCCGGTTTATTTAATTTGTCTTATTTTTGTGATTTATTTTATTTGCGCATTTAATTTATTTATTTAATTCATTTCATTTAATTCACTTTTAAATTAAATTATTTTCATTTTCTTTTAAATATAATTTAAATTAATTCTTTTTATTTTTGCCTTTTTTTTTATCGCCTCTGGTCTTCACCTCTGTCTTTAATTTCTTTTTTTCTTTTTTCTTTTTTCTTTTTATTTGCTGATTAGTCCTTCAACGATTCTCCTTTTTCTTTTAGTCCATGCGTTTCAAAATAAATAAAATAAATAAAATAAATAAAAACAAAAAGAAAACTATTTATCTTTTGCTGCAGCGCCTTTCTCCCAAAGAACTGGACAGCTGCTGCTCCGCGCGTTTTATTTTAATTCCAATTAAATTGCCGATGCAAAAAAGCCAAGAAGAGACAAGTCCTCTTCACTTCGCCCTCGGCATTATTGACAGGGAGTCAGCAGCAGCAGCAGCAGCAGCAGCAGCAGAGCAGCAGCAGCAGCAGCAGCAGCAGCAGCAGAGCAGCAGCAGCAGCAGCAGCAGCAGCAGCAGCAGCAGAGCAGCAGCAGCAGCAGCAGCACGGTAGCAGCAGCAAAGCGGAGAAGATGTTGCACTGAGAGAATAGCGGCGGGCGGAAGAAGCCCTCAGTCCGCGTGCGTGCTGCTGCTGCCGTTCTCGCAAAGCCCGAGGGTTTAGGGTTTAGGGTTTAGGGTTTAGGGTTTGCGGCGCAGGAACGGCGCAGTGCGAGTCGTGGACTCCGTCCAAGACCCCAAAAGCAGCTACAGTTTGGCACTGACGCATTTGCAAATGGTGGCCCACGAGTTGGAGTGGCAGCTGAGCATACACTCCAACGGCCGCGGTGCGTTGGGGTGTACGTACACCTCAGAATTCCGGCTTTTTGCCGCTTTTTTTACCGCTTTTGCGCTCCCCAGCTTTTATTTTCCATTCTTTTTCTTTTTGCTTCTTTTTTTTCCTTCAAATGGCACTTTTTGCTTCCAATTTGCGACTTTTCGCGACTCCGCAGCCTTCGGGTGTACGCACTGCGCGGGCGCTCGGGTGTATAGGCACCTCTGGCTGTATCCACTTTCGGAAAAAGAAAAAGACGAATTTAATTCACTTTTAATTCATTTTTAATTCACTTTTAATTCATTTTTAATTTTATTTGTGTTCTTTCTTCTTTTATTCTCCTGCTAATTGCCAAAAGCGTTCATTTCGCCTTTTTGTTCGCGCAACTTCCAGTGTACGTACACCCCAGTTCTGCTGCTGCGCTGCAGGACAGCCCAGGCAATATGTGGCTTCTCGCCAAGTCCCGGAGGTTCGTTTTGAATTAATTTTTTGGATTTATTTATTTCTTTTTGTCCACTTTGCTTCTGCATGCATTCACGAGGCTTTAGTTGAAATTTATTCGAAAAAAGGACAAAAATGACGAGAAAAAACCTATTTGCTGCTGCTGCTGCTTCTGCTGCTGCTGCTGCTGCTGCTGCTGCTGCAGCCGGGCTTCTGCTCGCTCGTTTCAAAGACAGGATATGAAGGATCCGTAAGATAATTAATTAATTAATTAATTAATTGACAAGTTAATTGATTGATTAATTATTAAATTAATCAATTAATTAATTAATTAATTAATTAATTAATTTAATAATTAATTAAAATTGAACAATTAAAATGGATATAATTAATCAAAATAATAAATGCCTGTAGATGTAATTCATTCCGTTACCTCTTGTACATTTCCAATGAGCCCAATTACGATTAAACAACCAACTGCTGCTGCTGCTGCTGCTACTGCTGCTGCTGCTGCTGCTGCTGCTGCTGCTGCTGCTGCTGCTGCTGCTGGGCCAGACCTTGTGGACTGTTTCTACAGGGCTGCTGATGCTGAATAATGCAGCAGCAATTGCGGAAGGGAGGGGCCCGCAGCACGCCATAGGGACGAGAAAGGAATTGGCAGAAACCCTTGTAAACCCTAAACCCTAAACCCTAAACCCTAAACCCTCGGCGGGAGAGAAGCAATGCTCGCGTGGGGCTGAACACCCAGCCTGCTAAACCCTAAACCCTAATGACTTTGTAAACTCCGAGCTAACTGCCAAACTAAACCCTAAACCCTCCTAAACCCTCCTAAACACTGAATCCTCCAAAACCCTAAACCCTCCAAAACCCTAAACCTCCTCAGCAAATCCTAGACCCAAGGCTCGGGGGGAAGGCTCCCAGGGTTTAGGGTTTAGGGTTTAGGGTTTGGAGTTGCGTTTGCTGCAGTGGCTGGAGTTGATGCTGAACAAATCGCGAACAGAGCTCTACAGGGATGAAGGGGAAGACATAGACTGAACCCCAAACCCTAAACCCTAAACCCTAAACCCTAAACCCTCGAGAAGCCAGGCCTGGGCCCCAAACCATGGACTCTCCTAGGAAGGAGAACTTTTAGCCCTCAACCCTTTAGAGATCTGGCCTCAAACCCGAGAATGAGGGAGAAAAAACCCTAAACCCTAAAATGGGGTTTAGGGGGGCTAAATAGCGTACAGTGCAGCGCCGAATTGTTTTTACGCGGGTTTAGGGTTTAGGGTTTATGGCGCTCAGGTGTACGTACACCTCAGGGGCCCCCCGAGGCTCAGCTGCAACTGTTTCTTGTCTCCTTTTTATTTTTCTTTCTCCTGTCTCCCCGCTAGCTAGCTAGCTAGCAAGCTATCTAGTTAGCTAGCTAGTTAGCTAGTAGCTAGCTAGCGAGCTAGCGAGCTAGCGAGCTAGCTAGCTAGTTAGCTAGCTAGCTAGCTAGTTAGCTAGCTATCTAGCTAGTTAGCTAGTAGCTAGCTGGCTAGCTATCTAGATACCCAGCTATCTAGATAACTATCTAGATAGATAGCTAGCTAGCTTGCCGTCGAGAGAGCTGCTGGGGTGTACAGACAGCTCGTGCTGCTGCTGCTGCTGCTGCTGCTGCTGCTGCTGCTGCTGCGTGGAATGTCTGGAGTTCTTTTGAATTAAATGGAGTCAAATGAGCTGAATGGGTGTTGTTGGCAAAGTCTAGAGTTCTTTTCATTTCAATTGGAGTCAAATGAAAAGAAACTTTTCCGAAAACGCGATCACCGGGGTGTACGTACACCCCACGAGGTGTACGTACACCCCAGCGATCGCGAAGATGCAAGTAGTCCATTTTCGGGAGTTTTTCTTCAATTTGAGAAATTCGAAGTTTCATTTATTCTTTTTCGGAGTTTTAAATGCCTAAATGGCACTTTTGAGGGGTCATTTCGTCGGAAAAGTGTGTTTTGAAGAGGGCAAAATCGAGAAAATTCAACAAATGCAAAAAGCGCTTTTCGCGTCTTTTTCGGGTTTTTCGGACTCAAAAAAGACACAAAAAGGTCCTTTTTCTCGCCACTTCTTTCCCAATTTATTAATTCTTTTCTTTTATCTTTTATTTTCCCCTTTTCCCTTTTGCTGCTGCTGCTCAAGTCCGCAGCAACTCCGCAGTCTGGCCCTCCAGCAGCTGCTGCAGCTCTTCTGTTGCTGCTGCCCAGCAGCAGAGGCGGCTGCTTAGGGCCCGGATGCTGCAGCAAACAAACAGAAACACTTTTATCATTTTTAATTTTATTTTTTGTTTTTATTTTTTAAATTAAATCCTTTTAAAACCATTTATATATAAAGAGGCTCTTGGCTACCTAAACCTCTTTTTAATTCCATTTTTATTTTTAATTCAAACTCTTCAGCCCCTTTTTATTTTCCTTTTTTTCTTTTTTGTTTTAATGGCAGCAGCAAAAGACCTGCTGTTTAAAAATAATTATAATTGATTCCATTTAGATTACCCCCTTCCCGCTTTTATTTACTCTTTCTGCTGCAGCAGCAGCAGCAGCAGCAGCTGCTGCTGCTGCTGCTGCAGCTACTGCTACCGTGCTGCTGCTGCAGCAGCAGCTGCTGCTGCTGCAGCTACTGCTACCGTGCTGCTGCTGCAGCAGCTGCAGCAGCAGCTGCTGCTGCGGCAGTAGCAGCAGCAGCAGCAGCAGCTGCTGCTGCTGCTGCTGCTGCTGCTGCTGCTGCTGCTGCTGCGTACCTGGGCGCGTCTGCGAGAAGGACGGGGCGGACCCAGTCGACTTGAATGGTTTGTTGAATGCCATTTATTTTTCCTTTTAAAAGTCTTTTTGCCATTGCCATTAACAGCAGCTTTTCCACATTATCCAAAGACACTTTGCAGGCTGCTGCCACTGCAGCAAACGACAGGCTGCTGCTGCTCACCCCGCTGCTGCTGCTGCTGCTGCTGCTGCTGCTGCTGCTGCTGCTTGGCAGCAAAACTGCTCCTGCTGTGCTGCATGTGAAGGCCAGCCGCAGCAAAGCCACTGTTGCTGCTTTCTGCTCCAAAGCCACCAGGTGTTCTCCTAATTCCTAATAAATAAATAAATAAATAAATAAATAAATAAATAAATAAATAAATAATAAACAAATAATAAATAATAAACAAATAATAAATAATAAACAAATATATAAATAGGATTAAGAATAGAAGGGGAAAGAAGGAGACACAAATGAAACAAAGGATGGAAAAGACAAAAGGGACAAAAAGAGAAAATAAAGAGAAAAAAACAGAAAAGAAACAAAAAATAAATAAAATAAATAAAATAAATAAAATAAATAAAATAAAATAAAATAAATAAAATAAAATAAATAAAATGAAGTGTGGGGCCCCACAGATTGCTCGATTTGCTGCTTGTGGGTCTCCATTATTTCCTGAAAAGCAGCAACACTTCCTTCCGCAAAGGCCTGCAGCAGCTGAAACAGCCACTGCTGCTGCTGCTGCTGCTGCTGCTGCTGCTGCTGCTGCTGCTGCTGCTGCTGCATTGCCTCCAGCACGACGCCTTGCTGCAGCTGCAGCAATAAAAAACTCATAAAATTTAAAATAATTAAATAAAACGAAATAATTAAAATGCGATTATTTAATCGCTTTAAAGAATCAATTTTCGAATTAATTAATCAATCAATTAATTAATTAATTCGACAATTAATCTATTTAATTATTTGATTAAAGAACAATTAATTAATTAAACAATTAATCAATTAATTAATTAATTAGGTTAAATAATTAATTGATTGATTGATTAATTAATTAATTAATTAATTAATTAATTAATTTAGAAATAAAAAAAGGAGAAAAGCGAAAAGAGAAAAAGGAACCTCGGAAGGCGGCGCCGCACGCTGAGGTGTACGTACACCCGAACTGACCAGTTCTCCGAAGTTGTAGAAGTCGGGAGCAATTAAAGCAGCAACAGAAATATCTTTTGCGATTTTTCTTCGATCTTTTTCTTTAATTGAATCTAAAAGGAAAAAAGAAAAGAATTTGAATCAATTGCGGCCAAAAAGAATTCAAAAACGCACAAAATTGCACAAAAACATACTTCCCCTAAACCCTAAACCCTAAACCCTAAACCCTAAACCCTGAAGTCGGATTCAGAAGACTAGCGGAACTGCTGCTCCTAAGCAGCATCACAAACCCTAAACCCTCGAAAACCCGAGACCCTAATTCCTCGAAAACCCTAAACCCTAAACCCTAAACCCTAAACCCTAAACCCTAAACCCTCGGCTTACTTGCAGAAGTGTAGGCCAGGTAGAAAAGCATCTCACGGCAGAATTCTCCGTATTTCTTTCTTGCCTGCGCGCCCCCAAACCCTAAACCCTAAACCCTAAACCCTAATCCCTAGTCGCCAAACCTTGAGTCCTAGCCCGTAAACCCTAACCCCTAAACTCTAAACCCTAAACTTCAAACCGCCAAAACCCAACCCCAAACCCCAAACCCTAAACCCTAAACCCTAAACCCTAAACCCTAAACCCTGACTCTGCAGATTTCGGCCCTGGCGAGATGGTAGGCGGCCTTGACCGCGGGGTCGACCCCGCAGCTGGGAGCGGCCCTGGGATCGGCTTTTCTGGGATCGATCCCGCTGGGATCGAGTGTGGGGTGAATGCGGGGATCCACCCCACAGTCGATCCCGGGATCGGGATCGGGGCGCAGCGTGTGGGGCCGATCCAGCAACTCCTCCGCCAACTCCACTTCTCCCTCGCGAGATCTAAAAAGACTTTCCAAACAAAAAAGATATAATTTAGACTGTGGGGAGTTGAGGCCAGCTCCGCTTCTGCTGCTGAGGCCCGGACACAGCCCCGGCTGCTCCTTTGCTGCTGCTGCTGCTGCTGCTGCTGCTGCGCCCTGCAGCGCAGCCACCACCTGCAGCGCGCCTGCAGCAGCTGCAGCAACAACAAACGCAGCAGCAGCAGCAGCAGCAGCAAAGTGCGAATGCACTGCTAACGCGACTAAGGAGACGGTTATCCCCGTGTGCTGCTTTGCTGCTCCTACTGCTGCTGCTGCTGCTGCTGCTGCTGCCCAAATGCCTTGCTGCCACCAAGCAGCAGCAGCAGCAGCAGCAGCAGCAGCTGCCGCAACGGCAGCAGCAACAGCACCGACCCCAGCAGCAGCAGCAGCAGCAGCAGCAGCAGCAGCAGCAGTCCCCTAAGCCGCAACGCAGCCGCGACGCCGCCGACCCCTCGCCGCCCCTCAGCAGCAGCAGCAGCAGCAGCAGCAGCAGCAGCAGCAGCAGCAGCAGCAGCAGCAGCAGCTCACGAATGGAAGCCAAAACCCCCTCCGCAATTTTAATTAATCGAATTGGATCCAAATGGCAATGCAACTTCAAAAGTCCACAAACCAAAAAACGCAACTTGCGCTCCGCAGACAACACAGGGGGCCCCTCCAGGGGCCCCCCCCCATTGGGGGCCCCCTGGGGGCCCCCCGGGGGGCCCCCCGGGGGGCCCCCCTGGGGGCCCCCCTGGGG